TCCCCTGTCTCATCCCTCTTGCATTGCATCCTCCCCCCGACCACGTTCCTCCTCCCCTCCGCCCTTCTCCCTACTCCTTTCCGCCAACCTCCCGCCGCCTCCCCCTCCTCCTCTTCGTCCTCCTCCCTCCTCCCCCTCCTCACTCTTCCCTCTTCCCCCTCCTCCCTACCCCCCCACTCCCCCCCCCGTTCCGCCTCATCGTCGGCGTCGATGACGATGGGGCCGGCGGCGACGACGGCGCCCGCGAGCAGCTCCCGCAGCTGCGCCTCGATGGAGTCGAAGTCCTGAGCCCCAGAAACGACGACGGCAACGACGACGACGACGACGACGACGACGACGACGACTCGACGACGACTCGACGACGACTCGACGACGACGACGACTCGACTCGACGACGACGACTCGACTCGACGACGACGACGACGACGACGACGACGACGACGACGACGACGACGACTCGACTCCGACCCCGACTCTGACTCCGACTCCGACTCCGACTCCGACTCCGACTCCGACTGCGTCTCCGACTTCGACTCCGACTCCGACTCCGACTCCGACTCCGACTCCGACTCCGACGACGGCGAGAGCGAAGGTAAGGAAAGGAAGAAAACAGAAGAGGAGAAGGGAGGAGGCGAGGAGAAGGGAGAGGAGGGAGAGGAGGGAGAGGGGAACTGGGTCCTGGCGGGTCAGCGGCAGGCCCATGGCCCGCAGGATGCCGAAACCCAGCAGGCCCGGCCCCTCGCTCCACGACGCCTTCAGGGCTGCGCTGGCGCCTTCGCGGAGGAGGAGGAGGAGGAGGAGGAGGAGGAGGAGGAGGGGTAGGAGGAGGAGGAGGAGGAGGAGGAGGAGGAGGAGGAGGAGTTTGGGGGGTAAACTCGCCTCGGCCAAAGAGGCCCCGCACCACGGGCAGCGCCGACGCCCGCAGGACCACCTGGCCCTGCAGCCCGCCGCGCAGCTCGGAGTGCGCGGCGAGGGCAAGGCCGAGCCGCGCCGGCGTGGCCATCCCCGAGGGCCGGCCGCGACGGCGGCCGCGCGACGGGGGCGGGCGGGTGGCCGCCGCGCGAGAAAGTGGCGAGAGCGGAGGAGGGGGAGGAGGAGGAGGAGGAAGGGAGAGGAGGAGGGAGAAGGGGAGGAGAGAGGGAGAGAGCGGAAGGAGAAAGGAGGAAGGGGAGGGAGGGAGAGAGCGGAAGAAGAAGAGGAGGAGGGGGAGGAGGCGGAGGGAGGAGGAGGAGGAGGAGGGAAGAGGAGGACCTTCCCTCTCCTTCCCTTCACGCCCCCTGCTCCTCATCCCGTTCCATATCCTCCCCTTTTCCTCCTCCTCCTCCTCCTTTCTTCTTCCTCCTCCCCCACCTCCTCCTACCCGATGGGGAACGCGGAACGTCTGGAAGCTCGATGGGGTCCCGACTTGCTACGTCGGAAATCAGAGTTGCTAAATCCACAATCCGATGTTGGAGCGGCTGAAACCCGGTGGGGGGCCGATTTGCGACAGCCGAACTATGTATTTGAAGCGCCCGAAACGCGATGGAGGCCCGATTCGTTTGTCGAAACAACGTTTAGGGCCCCCCTCAAATTTATTTCTGAAGTGCCCTAAACCCGATTGGAGTCCAATTTGCTACGTGCGAAGGCGCGCGTCGGGAACCCCAAATCTCGAGGGGTCCCGACGCGTCGGCTTCAGACTTTACGCGCATTGTGCGCCTTACGACGAGATGCCACGGCGGCTTTATTGAACATTGAGCAACAGGCTACGACATCGACAGTGACATCAGGAGAACCATGGACGTACGTTGCGACCAGTGCCTGCTTCAATGAAGTAATCCAGCCATGTTCTGCATATGCCTGGCCGTGCCCATCGTTGCTTCTGCAACAGCATTGAACTGGATATCCCCCGAAGAGTTCTCGATGGAAATGATGCACAGAACTTCACCCAAAGCAAACCGGACACTTCAAAATATGTGCGAAATTTGACCTCTTTTCTGATTCATCGAAATGTATCGCTGCATGCATGTCCGTGAACGCCCGAAAAAAAAACAAGCTAGTTCCACAACAGCTTCTTTCGTATCCACAACTACCCTCGATCCGCCGCCCACTGCGATGGGCAGTGGGCGTGTACTACGAAGTGTGAGAGCCCAAGACACACTCAGACCCCCATGAAAGCTCCTACACAGAACAAGGACCCTCCAAGACGACCAAGATGATCTCCAAAACGGCCCTGACACACCGAAAGGCACCCAAGAGGGCCCCAAAGGAGCCTCCAACTGGCCCTCAAGAAACTCCCAGCTGGCCCCCACAATGCCCCAACGTACTCCCAAGACGCCTACCCCTGCTATTCCACCACCCCCTCCTCCTCCAGTTCATCCACCTCCTTCTTATCCTACTCGTCCTATGGTTATTCCTCTTGACGCTCCTTCTCTTCCCATGTTCTCCGAAATCGTTCCAGACCCTCTCGGGGAACTTGAGGTCCGATGGCTGAGCGAGTCTCTAGCCCAACTCTCAACACGCAGGCACCAACTCCCGAGTAACTGCAAAGGTTATGCCTTTCACGCGAGAGATGGCCCTGACAGGTTCCCAGCCGCCTCTCCCTCTTCCTCCACCATCCCCTCCTCCTCCTCCCCCTCTTCCTCCTCCTCCTCCCCCTCCTCCTCCTCCTCATCCTCATCCTTATCTGTTACTCTTCCTGTGGCTCTTCCTCTTTATGTTCATTGTCTTCCCATGTTCCCCGAATCTTCCCATTTTTCCCGAGGCCAAAGAACCGCGGCCCCCTGTTGGCGTGCCACAGGGGTGCCCGGCATGCTGAACCCTTTCGCTTTTGGATTTGGCAAACAAACTCCCCCTGGGACATCGTCCCGTCCCGCCAGCCACCCGGAAGGGCGCGCAAAATGCGCAACAGGTTGCCAAAGGGTTTTTCGGCTCAAGACGGCCCCAAGATGGGCTCCAAGATGGCCCAAGATGGTCCAGGATGCCTCCAAACTCGAACAAGAAACACCTACGACGTCCCAAGACGGCCCCAGAAGCCTCCAAGAGGCCTCCAAGACGGCCCGAGAAGCCTCGAAGGGTCCCCAAGAACGGCCCAAAGAGGTCAAAATCAGTGTTTTCCCTGCGTGTTTGAAGGAGGGTTGGCTTTTGCTACTTTTCAGCCTTCCGAAGGACCAAGACTGCCCAAGAGGCCATCCAGATCGCCCCAAGAGAGCCCAAGAAGCCTCCAAGACGGCCCCAGGACGGCCCAAGAGGCCCCCACAACGGCCCCAGAAAGGCCCCAAGACCGCCCAAGAGGCCCCCAAGAAGCCACAGATGGCCTCCAAGACTGCCGAGATGGTCTCCAAGATGCCTCCAAGACAGCCAAGATGGCCTCCAAGACGGCCAAGATGGCCCCAAGATGCACCCAAGAAAACCCCCAATGGCCTCAAGATGGCCCAAGACGGTCCAAAAGGCCCGCGGGAGGCCTCCAAGACGGCCCAAGAGCCCTCCAAGACGTCCTCCAGGAAGGCCCGACAGGGTTATAATCATTGATTGTCCTTAGGTGTTGGAAGAATGTTGGCTGTTGCTACGTTTCAGCTCTCCGACCGCCCAAGCGGCCCCCAACATCGGCCCAAGAGCGCACAAGAGGCCTCCAAGATGCCCCAATGACAGCCCAAGAGGTCCCCACAACGGCCCCAAGAAGGCCCCGAGACGGCCCAAGAGGCCCCCAAGACACCCAAGATGGCCTCCAAGACGGCCAAGATGGCCCCCAAGATGCCTCCAGAACGGCCAAGGCCTCCGAGACAGCGAAGATGGCCCCAAGATGCACCCAAGACGGCCCCAGATGGCCTCAAGATGGCCTTAGACTGCCCAAAAGGCCCGCAAGAGGCCTCCAAGACGGCCCAAGAGCCTTCCAAAACCTCCTCCAGGAAGGCACGAAAAAAGCAAACATCCTTGATGTGATTTAGGTATTTCAAGGGTTGCTGCATTTCCTTAGCAACAGCTCCCCGACGGCCCAAGACGGCCCAAGAGGCCCCCAAAATCGTCCCAAGAGCGCCCAAGAGGCCTCCAAGATGGCCCGTGACAGCCCAGGAGGCCCCCAAGAGGGCCCCAAGAAGGTCCCAAGACTGCCCAAGATGGTCCCGAAGACGCCAAAGATGGCCTTCGAGACTGCCAAGATGGCCTCCAAGATGCCTCCAGAACGGCCAAGAAGACCTCCGAGATACCGAAGATGGCCCCAAAAAGCACCCAAGACGGACCCAGATGGCCTCAAGATGGCCTTAGACTGGCCAAAAGACCCGCAAGAGGGCTCCAAGACGGCACAGGAGTCCTCCAAGGCGTCCTCCAGGAAGGCCCGAAAGGGCCAAAATGGCCTCCAGACGGCCAAGATGGCCTCCAAGATGCCTCCAAGACTGCCAAGATGGCCTCCAAGACGGCGAAGATGGCCCCAATATGCACCCAAGGCGGCCCGGGATGGCCTCAAGATGGCCTACGACGGCCCAAACGGCCCCCAAGAGGCTTTCAAGACGGCCAAGAGCCCTCCAAGACGTCCTCCAGGAAACCCGAACGCTCGGAAACCATCTGGTCCGATAGCTCGCCCGACCCCGTGTTCCCCGAAAGCTTTCGAAACACACTCGGGGAACGCGTGGCCCGATAGCTTGGCCAAGCTCAAACCCAATGTTCGGCCACGCGGGCGCTTCCAACAAGGCAGGGGGCGGCGGTGATTCGCCGTAGGCGTCTTCGATAGAATGAGGATGAGAATAACTGATGGGAGCTAGAGGATGAGGAGGAGGAGGGGGGGAGTAGGATGATGAGGCGGGGGGTAGGATGAGGATGAGCAGGAGGAGGAGGAGAATGTGACTCATAAGCACCCCCCTCCTCCCACGCAGAATCCCCTTTCCAGGACGGAATCAATGAACACCACAAGAAAAACATTGGTGCAACCAGTATCGCATCAGCATCAACATCATCATCGTACTCATCACCATCGACCTCATCAACATTGTCACCACATCTATCTGATCAGCTTCATAATTTCCATTCTCGGGTGAAAGACAACAAGTGTACCACCCTATTC